TCTGGCGGAAATGTGCGTCGACCTATGTTGCCTAACCATGTTAGCACAGTAAAATGAAATTACCGGCTTGATTGACAAAAATTATTATTTTATTCACTTATTTGAACACATAGATGGTGGTACAAGGAGGCACCAGATACATATGCTCCACATAAATCTCATTTGATTTGTGTGAGGGCTGTGATACTGTCCGGATGCATAAACTGACGCAGGTTGATTGACAAAAGTCAAAACGTTGTAGCAATAATAATGACAACTAAATATTCAGAATGGGGTTTTAAAATATGGAGTGGAAACGTATGTTTAAAGGGATATTAGAATTTCAAATCGACTGGAAGATAAAGACTAAATGTATCTAAGACACCACATATCTTAAATCACGTCACCAAAAGTTTCCAGCCACTGATCGCGAGTACCACTCGAGCTTCTAAAGTCAGCGAAGTATTCAACACACCTAACTACTTCACTACCTTTGTTAGTTTGGGCGTTGCTGTAGACCAGTCTTAAGGTAACATCGTAAACTTGCTTGCTTTGTTGTTCGAGGTGATCAGATGAATCTGAATTTGGCCAGCATTTTTACAAAACAGAACCATCAGGTGTTTATTCCACGTCGATAAACGAATCTCATTGTAGACCAAGTGAAAGGTTCGGTGAAAAAAGTGTTACTTGCGGGAGCATGTGTATGACGAAATTAAACGAGAATCGAGACAGTCGACAACCCCAACGGATACCACTTGATATTATCAATTCTGATGACAATTCGCCACAAACTCCGACCATACCAATGGTGTTTGAATAGAGAGTCTTTAGTGCTCCTTTTAGTGCCAAGCACTGTCACCAAACCACTCGGTCAGCAGAGTTGTGTGGTGTCTTAAGGTCAAGTATTACCGCTAGAGAATATCCCTAGTGGACTCAAACAGAACTAGATAAAGTGATTGTCATTATTTGTGAGAGCATTCTATTTCCAATTGGGTTTTTTGCTGAAATACTAGAATGTAGTATGGTGAATTGTGTCATAAAACAATGATGTTAATTAGATCACCTAAGCTGCGTGTGTATCGAATTTGAGTGAACTGAGGAAGTGTTTGGTGTGGTTGACACGGCGCAGGTAGTTGTTCACCAAATAAATGGTGATACTCACGAAAAAAAGCTGACAGTCTCATGCATTCGCGACCCAGTGGTTGCATCTCAGGCCGAAAAACCTTGACTCGTGGAGTGGTAACATTTTCCTCGTATCTTTGAGTCCTCATACATTTTTAAGTGACTTGTAAATTCTATTGCTTCATTTTTTACGTACGTCTTTTCATTAGGGTTTCTTTGAAACTAGAAATGTCAGCACGACAGGTGGTCGAAAACCTCAACAGGATCCTCCAATCTATCATGACTTGTCAGTTTCACTTCAAGACGTTCTTCATGGGACGACTAAGAAGATTCGTATTACGAGAGCTCGTTTGAATCCGGACAGACAAACCACTCGTCAGGAAGAAAAGACAGTTGAAATCGAAGTTAAAAAAGGTTGGAAAGCTGGTACAAAAATCACGTTCCCTCGGGAGGGTGATGAGAGTATTAAAGGCAATGTTCCTGCCGACGTTGTTTTCGTTGTTAAAGATCGAACACACAAACATTTCAAGCGTGAAGGTAGCGATGTACGTTATGTGGCTAAAATTAGCCTAAAACAAGCTCTTTGTGGGGGTACTATCTCAATACCAACAATCGATGAAGGACAAATAAACATCCAACTCACTGAAATTATCAAACCTGGGACAACCAGACGTATTCCACACCAAGGTCTTCCCTTTTTGAAGGAACCTAGTCGCCTTGGCGATATGATAGTTGAATTTCAGGTCGTTTTCCCAGATTACCTATCAAATTCGCAGAAATCCCAGCTAGCATCAATATTACCCAACTAACCATGCAAGTTAATTATTGAAAAGATGTGAACTAAAACTCGATTTTAGAAGCTGTAATTTTTTTCTGCCATAGTATGTATATATCAGCTTTCCTAAAGTTACTAATCCATCTTGCCTTCACTGTACATGAAGTAAGATCGAATAAAGACTGGTGGTGAACATTTTTACCTGGAACGTCGGATTTCACAGGCATCCGTGAACCATGTATTCGAAAGTAAATTTACACAATAGTTTCCCGAAGGTTCAGACCGATGTTTTATTGTTTTGTGTTTATATCCCCACAGACTTTCCAGCTACATTGTGACGTTTGCTGGCAGCAATTGGTAGATTTATGTCTCTGGTAGCAATACAATACTTCGGTTTCCCCATGCAAGACCTGTACCACATGTAAGGACATCAATTGTCTGTATACTTGCAGTGCCATCATTTGTTTACTAGAGAAACAACTTACACCATATGCGACGGTTTCCAAGCGTAATAAATAGCCATTTTATCAACTCTTCAGGCAAATCGCTTTTGCTCTTACGTTTTTTGGTCTTTTACCCCGAGTGGCTAGTCAGTTATCTAAACGCAGGGTCTAATGACGTACACTGCTCACTTTGAGTTGTATAAACCATTAACATACTGCCGCTATCTATGGTTCCACTCGAATTCTGAATCCCAGATTTTGAGATGGATCCCACTCATATAGCAGGATTACTCTTGTTACAACTAGACCGGTCAAAATAAACAGGAAAGCATCGAAATTCTGCATGGCATCAGAAGTTGTGCTGGCTTTATGATCAGTAAACAGTATAGAAAACAGTCGGATAGTAACTGTAAATGATAAAAACTGTACGGAAGAGTAGTCTATAATCTGTCAGCTATATTTATGCTCAAGATCTTATTAGTCCTTATGTACGCGACTCACTAATAACGGAGTATTTAGACATACTCAACTGGTAAGGTGAAGCACTTTTGTACTGTGAAGATCGGGTACACAGTAAGCTAGCTAACGATAATCACGAGACTATTGCAAAATGATAAATGAAAAAGTGTTACTAATTCCACGATCACAAGTATTAGGTAGCTTGGAAGTCATATTTGTTTGGTTCCTAATTGACAAGAATCATTGACCGAACAACCGATAGGATATGTAAGATTTCGTCAAGATTAACAAAAGCAGAATTTCAGGTTGAATCACACTGTAAAGAGATGTGTTTAGTAGTTGTAGATTGCAACACAATAAGTCGGTTACATTTTCAGCTACAAAATGCTGGGAAGGCGTTTTTTAGATGATCTACATTTATTTGTTCGATCAGTTACCTGTAGAAGTATTTTTAACTCCTGATCAAAATTATCTTAACGGTAACAAATTCGTTTATCTGATCACAACCATCTGTTGTGACTGAAATACTGGGTTCTTAGAGCTGTAATCATTTCGAAACATTTTCCAAATATAAGTACGGAATTTAGCCGGTATTAACGTTACATGATTGTAGTATTATACGGTAACCCAGTTTAACTAATTAATGGCCACTTCTTTAATAGAGAAAACAGAGCGTGATACTAAGAACTTCCTCCTTGATTCAGTAAAATTGAGTATATTTGTGCCATTTGTTTTTCTAAAACGATTTATTTCGATATGAACTGATCGAACAAGTTAGAAGCCTACTTTTAATACTGTGACAAGCTCTGCAAGGCCATTATTAAATTTGGCTTTTTAACAAATAACACGCGCCTCGATTATTAGTTTTATTCAAATGTACCGTTATGGAAATTTCGAACACTTGAGTGTAGGTATTTATGGCAAGTTGTACGTTTTCCAAACCAAAATTCGTTTCATTTAATCCTAAAATACTTTCCCTCTTGAATTAGTGTCCTCCATCGTGACACCAACTGTGACAAATAGTAGTTGTTATTGTAGTGAACCTAATGTACGCACCAGCAATCTCTAGATCTGTTCAAATATGCTTTACCAGTCACGAATGGGATATTATTTGAGTATGAAATAAAACCACGAAGATATTACTTAGTAATCAGAATAAAGCGCACAATAACGTACAACGCAGTTATCAAGGACAACAATATTTCATAACAATCGGAAGCCGTCTGTAGACTAAATATCTCGATTCTAGGATCTGAATCTATAGACCAAGATAGTATAAAACACGCAGAAAATGCGATTCCTGAGACCATAACTTCAAATAAAATTATTGACTCACTGAAATTTAAGAATTTAGTGAAGGTTTTTATGGTCAGTAGATACAAGCTAGGGGACTCTAAACCAAGAGGTACCAACTATATATGTACGCAACAATCTCGTTTACGTCACTTTAGTCCGAACATACGGTTAAGAAAAGATCCTTCAACAAAATCCCTTATCTATAAAATTGAGGATAGTACAACCTGATATTTGATTTTCTATTCACTCAAAAAATACTGGACGGAGTATGAAAGTAATAAAAAAGAACAGTAACTCCTGGAATATCATAGAAAATAAAACAGCTAAGGTTTCTGCTAAATATTTGGAATAAATGGTTGATTTTAGGAAAACCAACAAAATCGTTTGTTTTGCTTACTCACTATTTCGTTTAGACCAAAATATCGTACCTATGTGGTCGAGAAATATACCAGTTGACTTGATAAATTTAGCTGTAGACATTTAAGAAGTCGACATCGATCATGGGCGATTTAATGCTAACACTTCTCACTACATTCGAATGTCATCGGTTTGAATACACATAAAGTAAGAGTGACTTGTCGAGCAGTACCAAGGAACGACTGTCCAGTGTTCGATGCTTTCCAAAAGTCTAGGATCTTATATCCTTTGCGAAAATAATCTTCGAAATAATTAGGACTCCGTAAAATCGTTCAATTCCATCACTGTAGTATCAATATCGTCCGATTTCAAGCATGAATAAATACTAGGGTGATAGCCGCAACGCAAAATTAGTATTCTGCTAGGTACGTTGTTATTGAGCACTAACGATGCACCAGTAAAATGACGGTTTTAGTTTGCCAAATGTAAATTAGATCTTGTAACTGACAAATTTGAAATCACCATTTTAACAGTAAATTATAACCGCGAATTTACGGATAATTGAATGAGGATACTGGATATGAGAGAACACTATATAAGAAAACGACCTTAACCTTTCAAAAGCAGAAAGCTCTGGCTTGTAGAACTCGAATGCAATTTTTAATTGGTAGACGATAACGGCTGTAAAACCAGTGCTAAGGCGAAATGGGGAGGCGTTTTGTGTCATTTTACGGGAACTTAGAACAAATGTCTTGTGGTTAGGTTGATATCTTTTGAATATTGAGTCAGATGCTACTACTGGTGATTAAAACCAACCTCGCGATGACTTATACTCGTTAGTTACATTAAATGAACATTCGTTTGATTGGTCAAATTACTTGTCATTTTGCATAACATCAATTTTTCTAGGCATTTTTGTGCATGTACACCATAAATCGGTAGTATCTTGAGTTTATAACTATCCCAAACATTCACTGTTTATAGTAATAAAGGTTGTTTTTAGAAACTTTGAATAAATTCAAGATCAATACATACGATAAACTAACCAATGCATGTTTTAATTTAAGGAATGAAAGATGAATTCGACAACAAAAATCAAGTGACTTTCAAACGTAAGTTGTTAAGGTACATTGAAGAACATGAACATGAAAGAGGAAAAAGTTGTCGTCTTGATTTTACGTATTTACATTCTTATTATTCATATTTACAAAAAATACTCATGGTATCGGTAAATATAGTTTTAGATAAAAAATCCAATTCAGAAAGTGGTAGATCATCTAATAAAGTAGTGGAAGGTCGACATTTATCAAAATATGGGATCAGTTTAGAATGAGCAGTTATCGATTGTTGCAAAGTTGCAACTCTGTGAACAGTACAAAGTACAGGATTAGCAATCACTTGATCCTAACGAAAGTATACGCAAAGATAAGACGAAAGAACAAAATATTTCTTAGTTATATTTTTTTACACTCCTGGTTTTACAGGGCTTTTTGTTTATGCTATACAATTATTACAATAAATGGTGGCAGAACGAAAAAACTGGATAAGATGTAGGGAAATACACATGTCAATGTTATGGTCAGTCGATTTATAGCATCGATGATATACGATAGGTAAGCCATTTATTTGCCAAGGTCTATGCCCTCATTTATGCTAAATGATTATGTATATACATAAATACACACTAGCTGTGTTGCTTATGCAAACTAACATGTCTTCCGACTAAACGCTTAAATCGGTTTCCTAAGCTCTTCTAATAAACCCCAGGTTAAATATAAGCAACTTGAATACGAGAGAAACGGCGTGAAGTGTGAAGAAAGTTTTACTTCAAGGTTAGCTTGTTTATATAGAAAATTGAGGGTATTTCAGATGGCCCTGAGCTTCCGGAACTATATGGAACATAGTAGCAGAATAGGTAATCATCGGATAAGAAGTGTGACACGTGACTTTCCACTTTAGATTATTCTGAGAAACTCCTACCCAGCGTTGATAGGATAAAAAATTTCCCAGAGTTTTCAGGGACCTTCTGGACTTCTTGGAAAAACGCTTTGGATCTCAAACACAAACATACGGAAATCGAAGCTTCTTGAGCAGTTTTTTCCTATTTAATTATTTTTGTTGCTCGGACATCAAGAATCAGATTGTACATTGATAGTTGAGTGTGTAGTAAATTTTCTATCCTAGGCTGAATTAGAGGTCTCATCAATAACATGACATTGACTTGTTATGTATGTAGTGTCCCTACTCGATTTGAAAAACACAATTGTTCAGGTATCAAATTGGAAGGTTAGGCTCGTAGAATTATCCTATAGATATTTTATCCCCTAGAAATAACCCTTCGGTGATTTTCACTGTTTGTCAATTTTTTTTAATCACAGAATCAAGTTGATATCTGCTACAGGGATTTCCAATTCAATATTTTGACATTTTAAAATAGACAAAGAAACCCAAATTAGGGTTTGTAAAACCACATACTTATTTTCTATCCCTTGAAGTCCAAGTGTTTACTTTTGCACATATCGTCTATAATGAGGGCTAACAAAAATTTCAACTGTACGTACATGGGGTAAAGTACAAGGATTTAATCTGGATTGTAGGTAATTTTACTAGCTGAATTATTTTGTACGTAACACTCACTCATATGTATGGACGATGCGTTTGATGTATCATAAACTGCAGTCATTCAACTTAAACAGATTAATGGAAATGTTAAACTATGAACATGAACAGAATTTATAATATTAATTAATCATGTGAATTAAGATGTGCATTTATTCCTGCTACCTACTTAAATAGTAAACAGTAATTAGAAGTTGAAAAGTTTCCAACTTACCAAAGACATACCAAATGGTCTTGATAAAAGGTATACTATTTGTAGTACTAAAAGAAATGGATTTTTGATAGACCAGTGATAAAGATTCATTAAAAATTGTTTGCTGCAATACACACTAAATGGATCACATCCAGTACAAGTAAATATTGTAGGTATAGTGGATGAAGTTGTGCTTGTTTCACTAAAGCGACGAAGAAGATGGTGATATTCACGAATAAATAATAACATACATAATTTGGAATTCGCATATTGTCTCATACTGTCATGCAATGATGTTGGGGTTGTCTGAAACATCTTTGTTATATTCAGTTCCTTAATACAGTGTTGTAAATTACTCTCTCTAAAAAATAAATTCATTTAAATAAAATATTAAGCGTCAAATGATAGAGTTCAGACTGGCAAACAAGGTTATGGATACTAAGACATAATTGAATGTGCAATGGCTGATAAGCATTGTATCTGGACGTTTAGACGCCGACTCCCTAGTCCCTAGAAGTCTCTTAATCTTGATACCAAGATAGAAATCGGGAAGCATAAGAGAACCTGCACTCCGAACGCGAAATTATGTACAAGGGTAGGTATTTTTTAGGATTACGGGTGACCTTGATGCTTTGGAAAATCGAAAGAACGGTAACAGTCAGTTAGTCAAACCCAACATACAACCTCGTATACAGGTACATCGGTCCACGTTGCCATAAACCATTAGCACTGTAGTATGAAGCTGTTAGGGCAAATCACAGAGTAGTAGAGGTAGTAACAGTATTAGTAGTAATAGAAAACATTATGCACCGAAGATACGACCCAAAATAAAATACAAATCATTGAAATATAGAATTATGGTGAATTTATAAACTCAGGATCTAAAGAAAGAATGCAAACGATTTTGAGCCATAGAATATATGGGATGTAATTAGCATCGGAATCCAAGACGCTTATCCTGTCTGATTTGGGACTCGTCAGTTAAGTGTACGTGCAACCAATATTTGATGTTCACTCCGAAACTTGAATCTAGTACCGCTTGCTTCAAACGCCATCGCGTTATCCACTAAGCTACCGAGTCCAGACAGTCACTTATGCAACGGATATAATATCAAACCAGGGATCCAGGTACACCAAACTGATGAGTCCCAAATAGGGCAAAACGAGCGTCCTGGATTCCACTGCTATTCACATTCCATCTATTCTCTAATAACGTGTCGTAATGGCTATATCGAGGCAATCCGCACAGGATAACTAAAAATGATCGAATTCCAGTCACAAATATCAACAACGGAATAACACACCATTGCAAATAGAATCAATTTTTGAGTCATATTATTTAGAGTACCTAATCACTAGTAGCAAAGATCACGTAGACCCCAAGCAGGTAGTTAACACTTGCCAACACGGTTCATCACATTTGTCGATGACCTAATAGACCAGTACTGTTTTGATATGGCCGCCCCTAACTTTCTTGCAACCTATTCCTACATCAGACAACATACCCATCAAGGTAGGTGGTTGGGCATATATAACACAAGTCCCAACCACCTCAGTTGAAGATTCACTACAAAACCAATCGATTTCCCGTATTTACCTAGTACTCCATACCTAACCTTGCCAGTCTTCACTCAGTGGTCCCAAAATACACGACGGGTGCTCTTAAGACACATATAATCAGATACTAGCGAGATCTTTCGAAGCGCACTTTCTAGCACTACTCAAGTTCAATCAATATATAATATAACACCTCGTGAACTCTATCCACGTTGCCCAACCAGATACACTTTTCAAAGTCAGTCATAGTCAAAAGAAGTGTCTCGAAGGGAATACAAACTAAAAACATTCATACTTCTCCAATTCAAAGTTAAACACCACTTTTGCTTTCATTGTATCGTGAATCACAACCTTATTTCTATTTTCTGTGCTCAATAATCAATTGCTATTACTTCTTTTTTTTCAGATTAAGTGATCGAATTTTATTACGGAAATCAATTGCTTTTTGTTAATGTTCGTCACAAGAACAACAAGCCTTCATCTAAAAACTATTTTCATTTTACTATTCCTTCATTATCCATTAACTTCATCATATAATCTCCTTTTCGATATTTAGGAACAATTTATGACCTAATTTCATCCTATGTTCTAATTATTTTTAAATTTAAACACAAACATTGGTACAAGGAAGCACCAAAAAGATATGCACCACATAAATCATTCGATTTGCATAAAGGCTGGAATACTTCCCGGGTGCCCAAACCGAAACAAATGGTTGTCTTAGGGGAACACACACACGGAGAATTAGTGCATATTTTCTATCAGATAAGTATTAGACACTTGAATCATTGTTTTCTTATATTCTCATGCTTTTACGTTCTTGTTGGGTTCATAATCCACTGTACTGTGTCGTGCCTTCCCTAGGTTACTGTGAATTTACTACAGAATTATTAATTAGATCTATTTCACTTATGGTGTAGCCCTGTGTACATTGTATTTTCCTTTTTATGCTGCTATGCAGTCAAGCAACTAGTATGTATAGTCGCACGAATTTTGAGTTGCGAACTAAACTGTACAACAAGTTTATCTGTCTGTCGTACTTTCGTTCCATTCTGTTTATCGGACAGAAGAGCGGGGGAAGCTGCACCCTGGAACAATAGGAGTTAAGTACTGATCTCGGTAGTTATCTTACTGTCATTGAGTTATTGTTCAAAAGAAGGTTACTGAGTCATTAGTCAATGGAAGGTCATCCGACCTATACAACCGATCTAGCTTAACTAATAATACAACTAATTTCATGATAGAAGGCCCGATCATACGAGCCCGGTTACGACACATGTGTCTGGTCACTTAGTTAAGCCTAAGAAACTAATTATCACAACATGTAGGCCAGTTCTCAGAAGTATTATAAGCGTGCAAATTAAATTATATTAGTTCATAAAATAAATATATTGGCGTACAGTAGTTTCTAATAGAAACTGCAATTATTTATTTAGAACACATAAATACTGATGCAAATACGCACCATAATAAGTATATGCTACACAAATAAGGAAATGAAATTTTAAAGAAATAGAGGAGGAAGGAGGCTGAGTATAATCAAAAATAAAAAGTGGACCGTAGTAGTATGACATGGAAAACAGTTCAGACAAAAAAAAACAACTAGAAAGAATTAATTTAAGTAAGGTAGTTTCTCTTACTTTTATAAAGAATGTAAAAGGAATCCACAGCAGAATCGCCACCATTGATTCGCATTCTGAATTATATCTGATAACGTTTTAAAACCGGAGTTGCACTATCTCTAGGACCACAATGGAGGAGATGTGTTAAAATGAAAGGTGCCAGTCTTGTACAACTTTCATATCACAGTTCCATGTTATTATCTAACCACTTTTCTCACCTGGAAATAATTGCACGAAATGGGAACTGTTGGGTTGACGATCCTAAAAAATCTACAGGTAACCGTGGCCAGTGTTTCAAGTTGGTGACAATGACTGAATTAGTCACTGCTGAATCTTAACATCACTAACATAGTGTTGCCACTGGATGCAAGTGATCCTTCAAGACAATAATGATCGAATAGAGGAAGTTGCCTAACATCTCGTAAAGACCAGGTTTTACACAACTGGAGCAAAATCGCTGTTACTAAAGCGTTGAAAACCCAACATTTTACAGCCAAACTAACACCACAATGGAACCAAACATGACCCACATTGGCACGGACCGTCCTGGCTATCACTAAATGCAATGCCAGCAATATTGTTTTTTGGAAAACTCCGTCCACCATCTAAGACATTGCGGTATGTTACTGATCGGTGTTCCATCAACTTTACATATTGTTTCACTCGCACCAGACTACCTGCTGCAGCGGTTCGTACGAGTTCATGGTGCTTTCAATAGTCACCAGTTTTAGCTGCTGCTTGCAACCCGTCAGCACGATCCACTCACCAAGTTTCTCACAAACTTTGCACAATTTCCTTAAGTAAGAATCTACGTTTATCGTCGAACGCACAGTTAGCCTGAGTAAACCGACGAGCCTGTGTAAACGCAGTGCTTATAAACAAGACGTTTAGAAAAGTCATAAGAAATGTAACCCGCCATTTCCATGGTGTTATATAAGCGAAGCCAATGCTCATGTATATTTTTTGATGGACTAGCGGCTTGCCTTGATTCTAGGCTCAGTTTGACCTTTGGTTGCAGCAGAGGCCACAGATAATTCGCTTGCATCAACCCGTTTAGAATGGGAAGTTTGCGGGCCACAAAAACCTAACCAGGCATAAATTAAAACATGATTAAAGTCTAGATAGTTGTTCCAACAATAAGCCACAGTCTTGTGAAAAATAATGTCAGCGGTAGCTGGCCGTGATGTAATCGGTCTTAATCTAGGCTTTAGAAGCAGACGGAGGACGCCAACTAGTACATCGGCGACGATTGTACAGAGAGTTGGTGTTGACCAGGAATTTATTAGTCTGCGCAAAGCTTCAGAAGACGGTAACTGTTATCTGACGTTAGACCAACGAGTTTCCATTGGCCACTCAAGAGACTTCTATCTGTGCTTAGACGCCCGATCTGTGGATTCAGATACCCTGCTAGTACTACGTTATCTGCAGAACATACTTTCTTGAGACCATTCAACTGGTAGTACAAATTATTCTTGACTGCTTCCTTGATGCAATCAGTCGAGGCGTAGGCGAAGATTGTGGGAAAACATCGTTTTTCGCACAGGTTTCTTCTCCTTTTGGTAAAATTTGTTAATCCAACAGTGCAAAAGTGAATTTTAACAGGGATCCGATGGATAAGTTCCGTCATTTTTCTGATGCTTAATGTAGCGTCAACATCAGCCACACTAAACGGAGATGCCGTAGGGTCCCCGGATAAACGTACGTGAAATACACTTTTTGCATAGACAGATGGGAAGTAAATTTGAAGTACTTCGCTAGTCTTGAGTACGGGTCTCTAACATAAAGTGAACACCAATCTCAGGGCTTTCCCAAGACATAGCCAAATGTACCAGTTGTCCAATCTGCATCGATGTACGGTTGTTGAAGTTGGACATTTTGAATAGCACACAAGGTTTAAGACTCCATATTAGTTAGCGGCATTGAAAGTTGGACCAGTCGGCCATCTGAATTCTTTAAGACAAGATAGATTTTTCATCACAAACGAGCTGTTGCGTGAGTGAAGAAATAAAGACTATCACCAATTCGAAGGATCAGACCTAAGAATGCTACCTCAGGTATCATGTAAATAACGTAAGCCACAAATACAAAAAGATTTAACTTTTATTGATGAATGTGGCATTTCGTAATTGCCTTCATGGTTTCTGTTCAGTAGCAGATGATCACTGATATATAAATATACAACTAGGCTACTGTAAACAATTGTTAGCTTATTCTATTATAACTTTTCACCAATAACTCGAGCGTTATTTGTTAGTAAACATTATACATCTATAAATTATTTCACAGTGAAGCTTACTTGTGAATCTCTGATGAAACTATCACCACACGCAAAGTTGAGCTGTCAAATGTTTTGTCTGATGAATTAGTTGAAAGAGAAGGTAAAGAATCAAATCTTGCTTTTAACAATCGTTCCAAAAACAAGGCAGGAGCTAAATAATTGCATTGCATTGATACTTCAAATCCGTCGGAAGTTAAATACGGAAAATGTTTAGAAGAACACTCACATGAATAAGCAGGAATCCATGCAGGAATTATCTTTTTCCCAAACCAATTAAATACTTGTATTTCATAGTTTGTTACAAACTTAAAAATAGATTGAAACCAGGATGAAACTTTAGACGGAATCATTTCACGCAAACAAGACACTATCCTACAATCAAAGTAAATACAAAACGAAGTAGGAATTAGGCAAGTTTATTTTAAAAACCGTGTGATTAAAATGAAAACCACCTAAATAAACCGTCTTCACTAGACATAATAATTAAAGATCATTCAAAGAAATAAAGGAAACGACAACTACTTACCAGGCTATACAGTTTTTATTTATTTATTTGGACACAGAAACACTGGTACAAGGGGCATCAAGTACATATGCGCCACACAGTGAGGCCAGTAGTAGTTATTATGATCTTTATGAGGGCTGTGATACTTCCCGGGTGCCCAAACCGAAACAAATGGTTTTCTTAGGGGAACACACTTGGAGCCTTTGATCTGGAGGTCTAATACAAAAGGCAGCGGGGCAAAGTCAGGAGATACAGTCCCATGGTAGCCGGTGACCAACGATATCTTCATACGCCATTTGTCCCCTCAGGATCACGGAGCCCATATACACCATCGGTTTGGAATCAGGGTTTTCCAACTCGCTTAGGTGGACTCTCCGTGTCCACCAACCCGGTTAAAGCACCAGACATTCGCTTTTCATCTTCTCAATTTCGTAAACAACACTCCTGTCACGAGGATGCAGTGAGTAGGACTTCCCTGGTAGTGGCTGTATACGTGTGGCCACGTGAAAGTATTTCGAGGAGTAACGGACTTTCCCCACTCTCGGTCGTATCAGGGCATTTAGGGGCAGGCTATACAGTAAAGTATTTATGAAATTTTTTTGTAATAATAAATTTTATTTGAAATCTCTTCTGCAAAAAGCTTTTAGTATAGCATAGATCAGCGATGAAAATACATTTTTAGCAATTAATTAAGTGTATTACCAAGACTACTGCAATTCAAAGAACTGACTACTAACACATTATAATATACACCAGTCTCTTCGAACTACGAAACTGAATGCTACTGCTAATCTTTACTGTACAGATTCTGTATTACGTTTAAGTATATTTCAGTCAGTTATTCAGCAATAATATAGAATACGAAAAAACTGCCGAAATGTGCATCAGTGAACTACGAGGAAATGATAGTGTTATAAATGTCTGCTGAAATTATATCGTTAATATGAGCTACGGATACATAGCTTTACATTGAAAATCCTATGGTTCGGAAAACCTACTATATGGACCACAATAAAACTTAGACTAACAACAACAATAACAGTTACCTTGTAAAAGATTGGAAGAAATTCCATCCAGCGAAAGGAGGAAGCAAATCATCAGTTATGATACACGCATGAACAGGCCAGTTCAATGACTGTAATATCTATAATTTAAAGAAAAATATCTCACTGAAAAAAGTGAAATATAGTTTAGTCTGAGCGTAATTTTTACCATGAACAGATATTTGCTGTAAAAAATGAACTGCTGTTTTGTCTGAGTGGTGTGCCACCATGAGTCCATATATGTTCGAATTCAACACTATTAGATCTTACGAAGAACATGTGACCCAATGAGTTTTGAATGAATAGTTTTCATGTCGGTTAGTTTGCAGCACAGTATGAATTACCACTTTAAATTCAATTTAGTTAACCGTATAGCCCATGAATTCTACATAGAACTTCAGGAAATGGCTCGTGAAGTCAGACAAAAGAACAAACTGGCTCTTTAGTGATCAATGACTTTTATTTCTTTATTAACTGATGTCGATTATTCATAAAAGTTACTTTTAAGTTGTAAAAAATCTTCATAAAAACAACTAATAATTTAATTTAATTTCAGAATTTAAAAGATGAATATTATGAGAAAGTATCAAAATATTGATGTAAAGGATATCCAGAAAATCTGTATAGAAATGTTACATCTAAAGGTTTCATTTTAGTGTGTCTGTATTCTATAGTCAAGCCACCCCTGTAGCTCGAAGATAGGAATTTTCACTAGTAGCTCGTGTCGTAAACAGCCGTTACTTCACCATTTTGTTATCTACACAAGTCTATCATCTTAGACCTTCTCTATACGGAATATTTGAAAGACTGAAGATTTTTCATCGAATAAATGACCATTTGACATAAATTAGAGGCAACTCACATGAACGGATCGTACGATGCTATGTAATTCCAAAGGATTATACGGTATCCAATATAGTTGACCTGATTCTTTATTAATTGACTTCAAAGTTAAGTCTACAGTGATACTGCCTTCATAATATGCCTTTGTTTTGTCAAATACAGCAATAGCATTTTCTGGACATTTAGTACAAGCGCATATAACAGTAGCTCCATATTGGACGAGATGAACAGCGATTGATAAACCAAGACCACAGCCTGAATTTGTTACAACAACGTAAAACCCACGGAGATCTTTATTTAATAAAATCTACAACAACAGAAGAAAATATTCTCAAATTATCATGAAAACAAAACGATTAATATTTTTTAAAAATATTCATACTAAACTCACTGTTATTATATTTGGATAACGAATCCTAAAGTATAAGTTATAGAGTGAGAATTATCATTTTCTCGTACAATTTCACACCAAGTATTACGTCACTGTAGTGTGAATTTATTAACACATGAAACCAATTTGCCAAGTTAAGGTCTATGTACTTGAATTTGAACCAATTTCTGTGCGATGGCTATTGATAGCATCCGGGTATCCACACTGAAGTAGCTACAGCAGGACTAGGACAGACAACAACGTGGTTGAAAGTCGCTCAGTTGAACGCCAAATCACCATCCCATCAATTCTAGATAGTTATCAATAATTTTTAATAATTGCTTTTCACTTCTTCAAGGCGGTATAGACCGAACTATGCGTTTGCAGTCTAGTATCTTGGCTTAGTTTGGTCGACTTGAAATCTTATTCGTTCTAATATTAATCCAACCAACATTACAATAACTCGTCACTTTTAGTTAAAACTACGTAGTTAACTCCAACAATACTGGTTCTTATTTAATATATGTAGGTAGTGTCAAAAATATGGACAAGATCTTTGGTATCTCTCTTCGGTCCTGATACCTCAGGGGGGAAACGTTACTTTGATCGGTCAGGTCATTCTAAGAAAAAATAAATGAAGAGTCAGTCATTCGACAAGACTATTAGCGCGACAGTTTATTAAAAATTTCGATAGAGTACTGACACGGAGTTGATGCCCGAAAGTTCGATGTTTTCGCGCCATACATTTTGAAGTTTTCCCTTGGGCATTGCAACCAAGCTCCTAGGTCGTCAAGACCACCCTAACTCAGTTTCCTTTTCAAGTCCCTCACGAAGAAGTAGCCTTCCACTATGTGGGGGACCGGGAAGTGACAACCCCACTTAAACTCAAACATAAATCTAGATCATCTACCATAGAACCAATCCTCTTCTTTATTAACTAGTATTTCCTTTGTATGCTTTATCAATCTTTATCTCAGGAAGAGCAAAAGATAAGGTTTACAGAAAGCGTTCTGACTTTCAAGCGCTCGTAGCAGGTTATTTTAACACTCAAGTGATAGGCTAAGTCAAACAACGGCGACCGTATTTCGCAATGAATTTCGAACATGTTATCCCTATAACGTACAAACTTTAAGCATTGAAAAGGACACCATTTAATTTAGTGACCCCTAACATCAATACAAACATGATCATAATTAGACCAAATCGTCACCAGACATTGCTAGAAGCTCGATGGAAGACCGTTATCCCTTCTCGAGCATATGATTCGACTCCGACTATGTTCTACACATTTTACTGGACACAAAATTCATAACAGGAAGATCCCTTATGTACCAATTCACAGAGGGATTAATAAAGCAAGTAGTTGAACTTCATCCTGAAGTTTGTCATGATATGTAAACAGCTATAAAAAAGCAGTGATATCCGCCACCAATTCAAATCAAAGGTTAAGAAGGACCAGTGGGTTTTGTTTGCATCTACTGAGTAGATAAATACTCGGAAACTCATCCTTTCAGACCTGAAGAACAATGAAGAGCAACCAAAACTCAGACGTAAACATAAAAGGGTTTACCCAGTGGCCGTGAGTAGTGGTGGGAAAGTTAAGCAGAAGAGATGTAAACGGCTGTAGTGTCAGGTAATACTATGCAACTTTCCAGACTTACTAAAGAAACACGTATTGAGAAGTTAAGTGCAAGTGAAACTACCTTTGAAAAAAAGATCACGACTTTCAGTTCAAACGATTGGCGAGGCATTTCAAAAAAGCAATTCAACTATACTACAGCTGCCTACTACTCCGAAACAACCAGAATGAGAGTTTGAGATAAGTCCCTATATAACTGAATTTGAAAAAGCTACAGCTAATCTAAGACGAGGGGGAGAAGTGGGACTTTATAGATTAACCCTGTAGATCTTTCTAGTTTGTGGTTAAATTTTAGCGGCTAGATTGATAGAGAAATTAGATACAAGCCTCTATATTCGTTCAAGGCTGCTGCTATGGAATAGCAAACCTGAGAAAACTAGGCCGGTTCCAAACCTGAATGTGAATGTATCGATCATAGACATACTTACCGACGTACAATCATAGTTATACTACATAAACTTGAAACAGCATTCGATTCCATTAGTCGACAAGTTTTAGGACGACATCTGTTAATGAGAAGTGTACCAACTGGTTCGTGAAGAATTACCTAAATAATACCAACCACACTAAACGTTTCCTCACTCCATTCAACTTCTTCCATATACACTCAGCTGGGGTTATCAAACCAACATCATTGTTTCATGACACAATTCACCAAACTACATTCTAGCATTTTAACAACAAACTTAGTCGAAAATAGTGCTGTCCTAAATAATGAAAACCGCTTTATCCAGTACTGTTTGAGTCCACTAAGAATTTTTAGTGGCCCTTAATCTGACTCCAATCGGATCCTGTTATGATCGTATGAATGATTGCAATTGAAATATACATGTCGCCGACCCTCGTATATAATCATAGACTTAAATCGCGTCAGTGAATAATGCAATTAAATGAGTCAAATACGAGAATGAGGTTTGAATACGTTTATTTCGTACACTCATTTACCTGAACAGACAATCAGACGAAGCGAAGAGGAGAGAGAGAAGTGAAATGGGTTGATGCGTGGTGGAGAAGGTGAATGGGCTAACTCGATTTAATCAAACGTCAATCGATATTTATAGTCAACCAAAAATAAGTTACAGACATGTCATGAGTAGGATAAACAATGCACACACGTATAGTAACATAAAAACAGTCAAAGTTGATAAGCGAATAATTAATAAGGTCAAAATGTAACTCAAGAAGAGTGAAAAAATTGGCCTGTCCTGAAGCTAGGATAAGCCATATTGACATGGCAACTGGCACTACACTTCTCTAGTGGTAATCCTTGACCTTAAGACACCACACAACTCTGCTGACCGAGCGGTTTGGTGACAGTGCTTGGCACTAAAAGGAGCACTAAAGACTCTCTATTCAAACACCATTGGTATGGTCGGAGTTTGTGGCGAATTGTCATCAGAATTGATAATATCAAGTGGTATCCGTTGGGGTTGTCGACTGTCTCGATTCTCGTTTAATTTCGTCATACACATGCTCCCGCAAGTAACACTTTTTTCACCGAACCTTTCACTTGGTCTACAATGAGATTCGTTTATCGACGTGGAATAAACACCTGATGGTTCTGTTTTGTAAAAATGCTGGCCAAATTCAGATTCATCTGATCACCTCGAACAACAAAGCAAGCAAATTTACGATGTTACCTTAAGACTGGTCTACATCAACGCCCAAACTAACAAAGGTAGTGAAGTAGTTGGGTGTGTTGACCACTTCACCTACCTTGGAAGTCTCATCAATCTAAGAGGGTTGGTATCTGACGAAATCTCAGCACGGATTCAGAAAGCCTATGTTAATATGTGTTACTTGTGACGTAGGTTAAATGCTCCCAGACGCCCTGGTACGACTGACAGTGGGGAAAGTCCGTTACTCCTCGAAATACTTTCACATGGCCACACGTATACAGCCACTACCAGGGAAGTCCTACTCACTGCATCCTCGTGACAGGAGTGTTGTTTACGAAATTGAGAAGATGAAAAGCGAATGTCTGGTGCTTTAACCGGGTTGGTGGACACGGAGAGTCCACCTAAGCGAGTTGGAAAACCCTGATTCCAAACCGATGGTGTATATGGGCTCCGTGATCCTGAGGGGACAAATGGCGTATGAAGATATCGTTGGTCACCGGCTACCATGGGACTGTATCTCCTGACTTTGCCCCGCTGCCTTTTGTATTAGACCTCCAGATCAAAGGCTCCAAGTGTGTTCCCCTAAGAAAACCATTTGTTTCGGTTTGGGCACCCGGGAAGTATCACAGCCCTCATAAAGATCATAATAACTACTACTGGCCTCACTGTGTGGCGCATATGTACTTGATGCCCCTTGTACCAGTGTTTCTGTGTTCAAATAAATAAAGTACTAGTCTCCAAGTTAAGAAAAGCGTAGATTGAGCAGCATTTCGCTCTGTATTACTATATAGATGTGAAACATTATTTATGAGAGATATGTGTAAGCCGTAAGTTTTTGATTATGGCTTTCTTTGAAGCAATGTTCACATACAGTGGAATGACCGAGTAAGTGATGCTGAGGTTTGGCATAGGGTTTTAGGTAATGACAAATCGGTTGACAGCATAGTAATTCTGCATTGACTGACAGGTATTATGTATGAGTGAAGATGGACCACCTCAAAATGAGATGCTTGCTGGTATAAGTGTAGGTTAGATGAAAGCTAGGGACCGTCAAACATAAAACGAGATGTCAGTCTATGATTTCACAGTTGCTCTAAACCATGTTGGTAAATACAGACTACGCGGTTAAAGTTTTCTAGGTGGAACGAATCAGAATCGATCACAGTGGCGCATATGCATTTACTCTTAATCTTCCCCTACATCTTGAGTTCCAGTATTTATTCATCCATAGCTCTTCATTTAGCATTCTAGAATAACATTTGAAATGTTTAGTCCTTATAATTATTATTAATACAATTGTTTAAACTCCTTTCTATTCATGATCTTAATCTTGTCTCGTTATGGTATTGTAAAATGGCAACTTGAGCCAACTCAAATTTATGCCATGCTCTACATTATGACTATGACTGAGTCTACACTCTGAGTTTACATACCTTGTTCACAGAACCAACTTACATCATTTACACTTGAGAATTTGTCAAATTTAAATTGGGTACTTCTAATTGATTTTGTAGAGTGGGTCAATAGGGCAGCAGGAAGTCGAGGATCGGAATAAGTTGAACAGCCAGTTTCTAAACTTTTTCAAAGAAAAAAAGAGTTGACAAAAAGGATAGTACGTTAATTGTAATGACTAAAATTAATAATTATCATTTAGGAATATATGACACGTTAAACACTTAGTTTGTGAAAAGAAATTCATGCTTAGATTATGTGAGCTTATCGATTATTAGTATATATATATGGTTTGAGAAAGATCAAACAAGCTAAAAATGATATGTGTCGATAGGGAGAATTAGACCAGCCAGACATATTTACTGCCTGACTAATTCGATGTAGCCATCAGGTATCTAAACAAGGGAAGTAGAGGATCAGGCTAAGAGGTCCGCTTTTTCATCTTCATCTCCATAAACTAGCTGTCGAACGCCACAAAGTATCTCTGCTCTGGAATCGTGGTCGGTTAAATCACGACCACAGAATCTTCCGTAGCTTAGGACATAATTCAATCGCTTCTGTGTGAAGCAGTACTGATTACGTTGTCTAGAAAGACGATTAGAACTTCACGACTTAACCACATAGAACAAGAAAGCATAGTAACCCCAAATCATTCTCATGAGCTACAAATCTCCATCTAAAAACAAAAACGACAATGTTTGAAGACTACAATAAATTTACTGCATTTCCTTGCTTTCTTCTCGGTGTATTACCCAATACCTATAGGGATCGGAAAACAATTACTTTCGCATAGTATCCAAGACTAATGATTATTTAATCAGCTTTATAAAGAACTACGAGTCAAAAAAATAAGAACATTGCAATCACAGATGCCTACATACAAAGAAACTGTCGGCCGATTATTTTGTTTTAGACGTTAGTATGAGATAAAAACTAAAAGAGACAGAACTGGACAAATTTCGAAAACTGAAAAACAGAAAATGGTACATACACTTAACACATTCAGCCTAGACCAATAAAGCTCGTTCTTATCCCAGTTCACATCTTTAGAGGTATAAGAAACTAAGGAGCTACCATTTTATATCATACTGGATGCAACTCTTTTCAAATATATTAATTAGGTCAACTAGTTTTATAAAACTTAAATCCGAGTTACTAAATAAAGAAAAACTGATCTGGCTACAAATAAAAGTTGGTTACTCTTCAAAAAACATTTGCAAAGATTCTTACTTTAAATAAATTGTTCTCCCAGATTTGTCGGAGCAGGAAGACCAACCTTTGGGCAACACATGTGGTAATTGCTTAATATGGCCTGAAATTGGATGAGGCCTTTGAGAAAGTCCAGTCAAGCGGCTGCACAAAATTAACAAATTAGATTAAATGTTTACATTGGCTTTTTTTAAATATGATGAAATATGTAGGGTATTGATACTTGGTGTATGGCTTAACTTTCGATAATGAACCTCAATAAGTAAACCTAACCTCGATTAGTTGTTTCCAATAGCGTATTCTTGTTAACATACTCATTGCAGATAGATTTAAGAGAACCACAGGAAACGACCATTTTACGCTTCATATTTTGCTTGGTTTTAAAACTTATTTAGCTTACAGACAAGATTCGTAAAAATAATTCAGAGACCGGTGACCAACTTCCTAACGTAGAGAAGGATACATTTAGTTTGGTTGCGGTCCAGTGATAGTTTACTGACCCTGCAAGTTTTTACATAAATACACTACACGAGAAACAGCACTTAGATTTTGTAACAAAGTTGAATTTGATTAACTCCGATGGTAAACATTTTAGCTCCTATCGTGGAGTAGTGAATAACCTCTTACATACCAATCATTTATCGTAATAACAGTACTACAAAATCATTTTATAAGACACAAATCAATTACATTTCGGGAAGTCTTAAGACTTCGAAATAATTATTTCGAAATATTTGGTGAATCCGTCAAGTAAGTCAACTTACTTGTAGTAAGTAATGAAATTACCCTGACTAGTTTGTTCCCATTCAGCTGGCAGGTTGTCCTCTGAATCAGAATCATCCCATAGATTGACAGACATTCAAAGAGTGTAGACTTTATTGATACTGTATCTAACTAGGAGGGAAAACGCGAAATTCAGGGGGAATTTAGGGGAAAAGCGCAAAAATGAGGGGAAATTTCGGGGAAAACACCCAAACTCAGGGAAAATATTGGGAAAACGCAAAATTCTGGGGAAATTTCGGAGAAAAACGCAAAATTTCCCCAAAATCGTGAAAAGGTTTGTGGTTTTATTAATAAATGTAGGCCGATTTCCCCAAAGTGTAATAAGATTCTGGGGAAATTTTGGCGTTTTGGTTCCATTTCCCCAAAATTGGGACATTGGGAACTGTTGAACTCGAGATACATGACGAATGGCCTGAAGGTTTTGTTGGCGAGACTATGAACGAACCAATGAGGTTAATTAAGCCATGGATTCTGTCGCACGATTGAATCACCTATGTTGACCGGGACGGCAAAACTCAGGTTCACTCGAAGTCGTCCTCCGTCTCGTTACGACGACCTTGAATAGCTTAGTATGTTGCGGCCATTTTAATTGCTGTGGGTCTGTTGGGTATCCGTTGGGTTGCACGAATATTAAGTGTTCTCATAATTAGGTAGTCTTAAACTGTAGTAAAATCCAAAAAACACTAATTTAGCTTTCTTTGTTTTATGATATATCAGTTCAGTTAAAAATGTTGGTTTTAATGAAGTTTTGTTCTCTGAGCTGAATGGTCGTGCAGCTTTCATCGTTCTTCTGAACGACATCATCAGCACAAACTTCAGGTACTTATAATAGAGTGGGTTGTCTATAGTTGTATACTAGCAACTTATATAGAGTTCAAAAATGTTTAACGCAGAGTTGCCCCAACTTACATTCTATAAACAAATGCCTTCTTCATCACCACCCTAATTAGGAAAGTGAATCAAATGTGGAAGATTTTAGGGCCCATTTTTCAGGTTCGATTCATGCAGTAAGTACAGAAGGCATACGGCCTATAATATTCCTTTTCTAGCATGCTTCTGTGATTTTCTAGTCTTCACTTGAATGAGTCAGTTGAAGGTGCGGCACGACTTCTCCGGGTAACAGGTTCCAAGAATTGGTGACTCGGTGTTAAAAGTCTGTATGCTACTGGTATTTAGTTTGCTCTTGGTTTTTCTACTCGCCTGCTGTGTCCTCTCAGATGTCGCGATTTAGTGAGAGGAAAAAGGGAAGATATTTTAGGTCCAAAGTTATTTCTTAGTATTCTACACATCAAAATCAGATCACCTCCTAATCTGAGGTAGGACAGGGTAAAGAGATCTTATTATGGTAAACATCCGAGTTCTGGAATTGCATGGGTAGCTGACCTCTGTATTTTTACCAGGTTATCCAAGTTGCACTTTAAACAGGGGCTTGTAGCTCGAACGCAGTTTTCAAGCTTAGCCCACATTAAGGTTGTGTATACTGTAGTGAACATTGTAGTATCTAACTTGGTGAATGTTCATCTTATGGCTCATATGATTCCAAACCCCGTAGCCGCAACCTCTAGGCAGTGGGCCATGATCATAAGATCATGACTCACTATCACCCCAAGATCCTTTATCATTTCATATTCGTTCTCTTACTTTATTGGGTTGAGAATCCAATCCATAATCCTTGTTCTTTAATTTATGTACGAGAATAGTCTCTTAGGCTGCTTGATTGCAGATTGTGCTAACTGCATTTCATATTTTCTCTGAGCTTTCCAGATTTATGCACCTCTGCAAATATAGACGGCATTCAGACTTAGAGGTGTTCGGTCTTGATCCCTCAGATAGTAGCTTCGCGCCATTGGCCTTTCGACCAGGTAGATATACCAATTATCTGAACCTGCGGTTCCTCTCATACTTAAAAGGATTACCATAGCAACGGCCAGACTGTACTTCATTGACGTACTCATTATTAAGATAAAACTAACCTATCTCATCACGGTCTAAGCCCAGCTCACGTTCCCAATTAGTGGGTGAACAAACCAACACTTGGTGAATTCTGCTTCATAGTGAATGGAAGAGCCTATATCGAAGGTCTTTTGCCTAGAAAAACTGACCATGGTCTATCTTTGAATGGATTAATGATGAATTTCACTGACTTAAGTTTGTACTGTTATGAACAATCACATTAGGCTGACCAAACATTCATGCAGGTAGTGAGTAACCACTGCGTCAAACTATTTATTAACTGAAATAAAAGCTGTGTAACAAGCACAAATATTACGAAAATTGATGTGTAACGGAAAAAATACAGTTAACAGCCGATAAATAACATGTAGCATACGAGCGAGAACCCGTAGCCTGACTTCTTCACCGCCCCATGTTGGCCGATTGGGCTGTGGATAAACTCCACGTTGTCAAGTCATCTGAGTACATCGGAGCCGGTAGTAACGATTATGTTTTCGTCTGTTTAGTTTGGAGTAATTCCTGTTATAGAATCAATTGGAGGTATGTCTCTTCCTACCTCAGTGGAAAAATTCTAGTCATGAAAAATTCTTGTATTCATTTGAACTCCACCCTTAAAGTTCAAGTTCATATAGAAGAGTTATCACACCACATAATGAGAGCCAAGATTATTCGAAGCTCATGAGGATGAAATCACTTCTGACAATAAATATTACAAGTCACACACGAACATGAAGTATTCGAGAAATATGACAGACGAAAATGGTCCTTCAGATAGACGGTGGAGTAAGAAAACGCAACCTATCACTTCTTGGGACGAGTGAAGCTAATAGCAACCCAATCACACATAAGTGGACGAAATATTTAGAAAGTCTATGAAAGAAGTAATCGCTAAGCGAGGAATTGATGTAACTCCAGATCGCTATCTAGTGTCCAGGATAAAAATGAAGCCAAAGGAACAATAGTCAGGTGGGCAAGAAGTACTACAATAGTTTAGCACAGCCTTCCTTCCAGGTGTTGTAGGGCCAGTAGAACGTCACTTAGTCATACCCGAATTACTCATCAGACTTAGTCATTTCTGAGTTAAACTATGGGTCGCTGATCATTGGAAAATCTATCAGACATCTTGGATAAAAAGGGTTGATCACTTGAGTGATATGAACTAGTCCATACAGTAGTGGTTTTACTATATATTTCTTTTGTCTTACTAGTACATTTCTTCAACAATGTGTTTGTTTTACGCAGTCGTCAAGGTGGTCTCAGAACGTAAACATTACGAAAGGGTAATCCACCTTAGGTATTAACCCAAAGGTGCAGCTTCAAAACAAACTAGAAGTTACATCATTCCCGTCCAACTCCAGTATGCTACAATCATCCACAGAGATCACCCGCTTTGATAATCTAGTGTTAACAAGCTCAGTAAGCTCAACAGAGCTCTTAGAAGCAAACGTTAATACCAACAAGATTTACTAGGAGAGGAAGAAAAACCCCAAGGCAAAACTGGAAGGCAATTAAAGATGCGAAAAACCCTAAATGTCGGAGCCGTCTTGCTTAAAGAAGCACAAGAACAAAGGATGGATCTCTATGAAGTCCCATAGAAACTGCGAAAAGTAAAAACAAGATGACGAGCAACAGAAACCTGGGCAAAAGTATAAAAAGCTAAGGCACACGCTGAATATGCTATGGCAAGAAAACAAGTTGGGAAGAGCATTGGAACTGTTAAGCAGAAAATTGTCGAATACATCTCACATACAACCGAACAAACCGCAGGAGAATGAAATATGTACTAAATCGAGAATTTATGTCGGAAATATAGTAAACCAGTGTCAGAAAAGGAAGTTTAGTCACCGAGGTACGAGTGGACAGAGCATATCAAAGTGTTACCCAGCAGTTCCATTGATCACCAAAGCAACATATATACATCATCCCTATAGATGATACCCCGACGACAACGTACAAAATCAGTAAGGCAAACGGACAGCAGGAATGTTAAAGCAACAGGACTAGACAGTATTAGCTGATGCATAAACGATAGATAGGAAGTTAGCAGCAACAATACCATTCTTTCCTTAAAAAAATCTGGGGGAAAGAACAGGTCGGTAGAGGTCCAATGTATCTTGTGGCAGAAAACACGGAGCGTAGCATATATACTTAAGTATATTCTCCGAGAGTCAGGAGTTAATTAGATCCAAGTATTTCGGGTGTATGTATAGTGTGCTTGCACTTGTACTTATATGTGTTTTGGAGAGCATGAAGTTCCAACATTTGGATTACATGTGTGTACATTATGCTATTGCTTGGTTGGCACTTTGACACTAATAACTAGTGGAAGAACTAAGGAATGTAAATAGCACCCTTCCCTTTCAGAAAGACATCTTCGTATTTATGAATGCTTTGGAATCCATGGAAATGATGTAGAGAATGTGTTGTGGATGCGAATGAGTTTGACGTTAGGTGTTGAAAACCTGGTATTTCCGTACGATTCTTCGCCCCGTTTTCCGTTTCAGGTGTGAAATGAGAGTTAGGTACAAAGTTATTCTACTCATAGAATTTGAACATAGATATACAAACATCACTTGAAGCATTTCTGAAGTTACTCACGGTCCAAAACCCAGACGAACATACTTATAACAACCATGTTGAAGTAGATCACTTGAAGTCTAAATCGATAATTAGACTCATAAAACGTGGGATAAATTTATCTTTCACGAATTGGTGTATTGAATGGACAAGTTAATATCTCGAAACGGAACGATATTTTGGTATTTCAGTTGGATTTTACTCGGATTCAGAGTTTGGCAGATTATGACAGGAAAACCAGAAATCGGAAAACGTGTGAAATATTACATTCGCGACGGTCTAAATCACGTTTACATTTCAAACCATTCTTCTTAAGAAATGTTCTTTGTAATGTTAGTTGAGCCGGAGTGTACCGACTATTAACGTTTATTTGTCTTTTTAGGCGCTTAGTTTACCGTCTTTTATTAGCCCATTTGGGTTGGATTCTCTCTCACTGCTTCTCTTTCGAGTTCCGCCGTGTAGATAACCTGGAACAATCAGCAGTTGTTCGCAAGAAACTTATAATTATATTGATTTGTACCGATTTTACTTGTGTTGATTAAATTCACTTCAGGTGTGCGTTTTTCGATTGCGAATTATAGTACATGTTCAGAAATAAAATATATATTGCCTTTTGAACAGTCTATACGTGAGTTATGATGTTTCGATATTACCAAGATATTTTCGGCTACTCATTAACAACCCGAAGCGTGTCATATTTTTGAGATGAATATACGTTTTTAGTATAGCATTAGTTCGATTGAAGGTTTATTCAGTAAGCTAAGTTCTTTAAGCATAGCTTTAACCACTCTCCTGATTGTTTTTGGTTATGTGTCTACGCTACCTACTCGAAAGAATAAAGCTCAACATCCACATTTCATATGGAATGAGACTTAAAGTAGCAAAGTAGATATAAACTTGATAGATCAGCCATTTATCGTTGTCTGATCGTTTGAAAATTAAAGAGACAAAAAATGATGGAATCAAATTAGCTGTTTATTGATTTCCTGTAAATTATGGTGACGAATCTCCTTTAAACATAAAATGAAGCCAGTATAATTGTCTTTGGGTCGATTATACTATTATCTGAAGGTCGTTTGATGCAGCTGGACATACGCACCTTGATGCACATCATTAATTCTTTCCAAATGCGTGGCTAACTTGGTCCTGAACAATATAATAATCACTTATTCTAGATTAACAATGTTACGTGAGGCATGCCAATTTACAGGTAAGAAAGCACTGAGCTTCGAAACGTCAGAAGTAGTGAGACTGACAGGACTCACAAATGTGAACGAGGAAGAGCAGCAGTGTTCATTCGAAATAGAATCCCCTTGAATACTATTGATAACATATATCATGAAAAGTAAATGTGTGGAGTAGTTTGCTGCCCAATCAAATGCATGCGTAAAACCAGGATTTAGCGCAATGACCACTTGATCTCACATTCATCCGTCAAGAGGGTGACGTTGAGAAAATTGAATGTACTCCAGCGCTGTGCAGGGGTACCCATACCTTATCAGTTCTTGGTTTAAATATTGTAGAATATAACGTTTGGTAAGCGAGTGAAAAAGAAATTATGCACACTGTTTAGACTAAAAAGTTACGAGAATCCTTATTAGGAATGGGTTTAAGGGGTATCCTTAAAATATTTCTAGGGAATCATTTCAATGTCCGTACTCTTTTGAATTTACACTAACCAAAATCTCTCCCCTATTATCCAATGATAGGATTTTTACTCTTCCTCTGAAGGAAAACAATCTAGCCGGTACTTATGTCCCTCGAAACTGACCAGACAAATAATTATTTCGGAAATTCAGACAGACTTGCGCTTTAGATGTCATTAAGCTCAGAAGAAGTGTAGAGTAAAGTATGTTATGATACTCAATGAATCCCTACAAGGTTTATTCTCTAATATCGACCGAGGTGGATGTGACAAACAGGCATTATATGTAGACGATGCTATACTATAGGAAGTAAGAAAAGTTAAAACCGTGGTGGACTAAAGGGGAAATTGCCACAGTGATAGAAAGTCAACGAAGAGGAATTCATATTGCTTTATTGTTATATGTTTCTTGCGAACAACTGCTGATTGTTCCAGGTTATCTACACGGCGGAACTCGAAAGAGAAGCAGTGAGAGAGAATCCAACCCAAATGGGCTAATAAAAGACGGTAAACTAAGCGCCTAAAAAGACAAATAAACGTTAATAGTCGGTACACTCCGGCTCAACTAACATTACAAAGAACATTTCTTAAGAAGAATGGTTTGAAATGTAAACGTGATTTAGACCGTCGCGAATGTAATATTTCACACGTTTTCCGATTTCTGGTTTTCCTGTCATAATCTGCTAAACTCTGAATCCGAGTAAAATCCAACTGAAATACCAAAATATCGTTCCGTTTCGAGATATTAACTTGTCCATTCAATACACCAATTCGTGAAAGATAAATTTGATTGAACTTTTTAAACTAATTTTCTGAATTCGTCTGGCAACATATTTTTATAAGTAAGCATCTCATTTCTTTGTTTTAATATTTCAAAATACTAAGAGTATAGTCGATGCAACTTCGAAATAGCGCCTCATATGAAGACTTTCCAACCTTTCGCGCCACCTTTATAAACGTTATAGCCAGCAAGGAACTAGAACACGTCATCACACTTATATTTCAACTAGTCGAAGATTTTTCGGAGATTCTGTTTTTTGTGACTCAGATATACGTTTCTCACGTTTATCATTTCTCAACGAATTGCTATTCATGTCATTAAACATTCATCCTCAGTCATTTGACTTGTATGGTAAAAACCTCAAGTTATTAGCCGAAAAACTAAGAAAAAACTGGATGCAGAAATTGTCGAATTCTGATCAGACGGATGACTCTTTAACTAGTTTAACTTGGTTATATGTAAGAACTTTTTTCTCATTTGAGTTTCTTTGTCAGGATGCTAATCCAGTTTCAATGAATCCGGAAGCCACTGCTCATTTTGAGGGAAAAGAACTAAACTTGTGTTTATCTCTTTATGGTATGTTTTTTTATGAAAGTGAAATTCTATGTTTAACAGATAATTACAATAGATATTCCTGCAGCGGGAATCAACCCATCACAGGTAGCTTGTTAGATCCTCAAGTACGACTAGAATATCGGACGAAATGGACTGGCAAACCGCCTTTTTCTTATGCCACACTTATTTGCTTGGCAATGCGCGAACTTGGTAAACCAAAAGTTACATTATCAGATATATATGGTTGGATAATGAATAACTTTGCATATTATCGCCACACAGATTCTAGCTGGCAGGTAAGGAGTATTTCGGACTGCATATACATATTCTAACCCAAAATGCTGTAATTATTATCAGCACTTGCAATTTGGCTTTTTTGGTATATCGTATTTATTATTATTGTGGAATATGGTTACTCTTCATGATTTGTTTTCATACAAATTTCATTCTACTAAACAATTAAAAACAACAGTAACTAGCGAGTTCTTCATTTTATACATAAAGTCAAAATAAAGGTTCTGATTTGATAGATTTTTGGGTAAGATTAATTCATAGAACCTCATTGATTATGGTACATTAAAAACCAGTCGGAATTATTCTATTTTACACTTTTAAGTAAATTAAATGTGCAGTCAACTGTTCACTTAGGTTGTCTCATGAGGTTCTGTCTCCTAATTAATTACAGAAAATAGAATTAAATACGAATGATATGATGCTTCAGTAAAGGATTTGAAACTAATAATTTTTTGGACAGAATATTTCTCTTGCTGTATTTGTTTCGTATTCTAATTGGGACCCAATTTAAAGTGTCACGGGTAGTATAAAATTATATTTGATTGATAAATGAACGCTTATACAAAAATATCAAAAAATAACTGTTTTAAGTGCTTTAATAATCTCATGGATAGTTTGTTGTGTCTATTAATAGTACATTGTCCTCCAGTAACTAACTCTTACTGAGTTGTATTTTAAACATTTAGGCTTCAATAACTGAAAGTCTAACTTAGGTTGGACGCGAACTATTTATTTTTACTTATGTATGATTTGGTTATTATTTTTTTAGTGGTAAACCAGCACAAACTGAGCAAACTTGTTTAGAATATCAGTATCATCTGGAACGTAGAGGGTTCTTTGAAAATAGATTCAGTAACATTTTATTTACGTTTCTTTACAACATAAAAAAAGGGATGTGTGAAAGTACGCAGACATGAACTGATCTATAGTTCTTTTTAGCAATCACATCAGTGAAAAGTTCATCCCTACTTACTCCTTTGTGGAACGTTTACCTTTGTATTCTGTTATTTTAATGCTTCTACTCCAAATTAGAGGCAAGACGTCAACGTTGTATATAGTCATGTAGTTTGAATACTCAATTCACGTGACAAAAAGTCGTATTAAATTTTTAAAAACGTTTATTTGAATCATTCCAGCCGTTAAAGGTAGGCCAGAATGGACACGCATGGGTACTTTTTGTTAGAACTGCTGAATATTCACATTTGTAACAATCCACTTGCATTTAAAGATTTGGGACTAAATTTTAGCTAATTTATAGAGCTTAGTTGTTTTCAAAATCTTTCTTACCAGAACATATAAACCTCATGCTTTGGTGAAGCACACGAAATTTATTCTTAAATTTTTTCTGGCCCAGTTCTGAAAATCACGTATGTTCATATATGCCCATGCTTATTTCAAAGTGTAATAAATGTAGGGAGAGGGGTAAGGAACTTAAAGTGCTGTGAAAATCCACTATAGGATGATACAACAATATTTTAATGACTTTGATGAAAAATACCAAACAAGCTATGAAAAAACATCCATATACTCACTTTTTGTTAGATAAACAATCAAAAATTATAATTATCCTCCGGAATAATAAGTGTTTCTGGTAAAAACATAATTTAGGAAAAAAGCTTTAAGAAACGAAAGGTAGGTGAAAACTTTACACATATTTGAAGGTTTTTGATATTGACGATCTGTTTACCTAATTTTTGAAAATGGACGTGAGTTGTCAAAATCATTCCCAGAGTTTCTGAAAAAATAACGATAGCTGGTTTAGGTGTACTTCGTAAGCAAAAGGTAAAAGGCTACTGAGTATCTCATAATAGGTCAATTTTTCTGTTACCCTTACGTTCTGATTTCGACACCTCCCAAAGTTAACTAAAAGACCCATCCAAAAATTTATATAAGTCCTTTCTTAATCAATAACTTATTTCTCAGTTCAAGAATTTCATCGACAAACTTTCCTTGACATAAAAAATATTCAGTGGCATGATTGATTTTCCACTAAACTATTTTTCAGGTTTTCTATTACCCAACTAAAGGTTTAAAATGTATACACGGTAAAAAGTACTTCTGTGATAATATGTGGATCGGACTACTTACTACAATGCCCAAATATTTTGAATAAAGGGGAAAGACAGCTAGAATAAACGACCACATCACTTAGAAGTGAATGATTTAGTGTTATTAAAATGATAATGTTAGCGATCTCATAAGAACTAGTAAAACCAGAACCTAATTTGTTAATCTCAAGTCTTTTCGTCCTTATTTTTAAGGCAACTGGAGTAATTAGTCAACTAAATTTTATATACAACAATTTCTGTATTTTTGAGTATCATGAGACTAAATTTCTTCTCCCATCCCTTTGATGTCGCTTATCGATTTGATTAACCGGTGCATTTTTATTGTCCAAATGTTACAAATGCCTCGAAAAAACACAAAACAAACGTTTGTAAGTATTTTTTCCGTTTTAAATGTGACTATCGACCTCTAGCAGGAACAACTTTTCAGGGCTATTGATGTTGTATCTTGAACGTAACTCAGGTAATAAATCAACCTTTCAAAGACTATGGACTTGGCTTCAAAAGGCAAGCCATTGTGGTTCATTAATGAGAAATTTCATGTGCTTTTTTCTATTTAGCGCTTTTTAATTTGCATCCTACTTTGGTATGTTCAGCTCAACGATCAACCGAATGCACAGAAAAAGAACCTAAGGTTTGCACTTTATTTCTCTTTAGATGATATCTGACAGAATTTTAATCATCTAATTATTAGTGTCGAGGAATTCATATGGGTTTCAAAGCTAAGTTTCCTACATATCTTATATAGATTTTCTGCTAGCATTAACAGAAGAACGGTGCGCTTTAACTTATCTTCATTATACTTCAAGTTATACAACACATATAACAAATTTTATCAGCTAACTAAAAAATCGAGCGATTTCTTTTTTAAAAAAATTTAAAATCTCTGATATATGTATCAACGTCTAACATTCACGATCTTAAATCTTAAAATTTGTTTAACGTGTATCAGATCACGAACAGAAAATCTAACGCTGTCACCGATGGTAGTGATAAGTGAATATCAGAGTAGATTAGCATTGTTCTCATGAGCGTCGGTTTGTTTAAATAATAGTAGGAAAATGTGACCAATAATTTATAGTCGTTTAAGAACAGTGTATTTATTTTGAAGCATTTATCGCCTTCTGGTACTTGTTTAATTCCACCCTTAAGAAAACCATTATGTTAAAAAGTTTCACATTTTAATAGGTTTCTGTCTCAAACTTTTACTTTATGTTTGTTAATAACATACTTCTCAAGAGTGGTGGAATACTTAATTCATGCAAATTACGACAGGGTTTTGTGGTTGCGTTGTTTTTCTAACAAATATTGGTTACTGAAGATATAAACATTTAAATTCACAGCTAACAATTTATTTTTGCGTGCTAAAATGTGCATCGATATATGAATCGATCAATCACAAAATTTAGACAGTTATTTATCACAGTTTTAATGATTCCTTTTTAAAATTCTGAGATCTTATTTAGTAGTTTTAACGCAATAATATTATACTCTGAAAACAAATCAAACTGAACTAGAATTGTAAACTTTCTGGAAACTTATACTCTATTCACTTACCTTTCTACTTTTCATCAAGTGGATTATTATTATCATTATTAAGTAATCGTTATTTTAGAAAGCATTGAAATGCCAGCTAACTGATTACATCTTGGTGGTTGGAAGGTCAACTTAACCCTTGAGAATGCATAAAGTTTCAGATTTTATCTATAGTAATGTCATAGGTAAGGAGTAATTGGCTATACAAGGATTAAAAAGCCCCTGCTTACTAATAAATATTTAAATATTATCAACATAGTAGTCAAACTATGTCCAGATTTTCTCGGTCAAATTTTCGAGTCGATCTAAGCTAGACCACCACTGAAAACCTGGAAGCACTGAACAGCCATTTCGTCCTAGTACGAGACTTCTTGGCAGTGTGTATCCACGATCCAGAACGCGGGACTCGAACCCAGGACTTTCGGTCTCACGCTCAAACGCTTAACTTCCCGACCAACAAGCCAGTATCTAACGGCGTCAAGGTTTAACTTCAATAGATTCGTGGTCTTGAGCAACCCATCATCCGTTGTCTGAGGTGGATAAATGTATTACACCCGAAACGGATTGAACTCCACTGGTCACGGCTTCTCACTAGAACCACAGAGGATTCATCTCAAAGCTAGTCACTAGTGAGCACATGAATATTATCAGCTTGAAGATTTGTGGAGATCGTAGTGTTTTCTCTGGTGGTCGACTCGTGTATTCAACTATGAAAATACTAGAATCTCCACAAATCTCCATACTGATAATTCAGCTCTTCTTGTTTATTTATGAGTCTATCTTTGTTTTCGTGGTACTAAACAAGAAATTTGTATCTTATTTCATTTAATTACCGAAAGCATCCAGAAAACTTCATAATTTATAACTGGCTATTCTATGCTTGTGAGCAATTTGTGGACAGATTTTCTGCTTTCATTATGATTGAAAACTAAATTATGATTATTCCACCGTTCAGGTAGATAGCTTTATTACCACATACTTTTATATGATATTATTTAGCCTGATGACTGTATACATATAATGGACTATTGGATCTCAGTATCAACGGTCACAAACTCTATCTTGTTCCACACATGTTCTATGATAAAAAGTAGACTGAACTATTTCACTTATGTTTCTTTGTTCTTATTAGTTCCTAACAGATACAAATTACAGTTATTTTATAATAATTTATACATAAAATGACTGAAAAAGTCATACCTTCAAAAAGTGTCTCACACTTTCTTAACACTGAAATCGATCACAAATTCAAATTTTACATGGTAAGTTATGCTTTTTAGGTTTGTTGAGTTTAAGGATATAGTGTTCATTTAGTAAGGGTTATTACTTATCTAGTTTCATACTGCATTTACTCAATAAATGAAAAAGCATACATATATGTATACATATGGATATTTGATCTTGTAAATTTGATATCTCCTTAAGATAATAGTTACCGTATTGCTATAGTTATATGTTAGCTAGTATCAAAAAATTATGTTAGAATATAAAATAGGTCATTTTAGACATTGTTTGATGATTCCGTGAATTTAGTCGAAGTGGTTTTACATAATTATTAGACATTTCCATAAAATACAATGATCATTGCTTGACAATCTGTGTTATGATTTATACCTAGTGATTTTGAGATGAATGTATGACATCAGTTTTCAAGTATTATTATGTTCATTTTTCAAATACCTGTCTTCCGGACAGTTTCAAGCGGACACAGCTTGCAACCTGATGGAGACCAGAATTAGATGTAGGTGTGTGGCGTATGCTACTTATGTTGACAGATGCAAGTAGTACGTTGCATCAGTCGGAAGTGTAATGCACACCAGTAGAAGACTGAAATGATTCAATTGAAGTGAGCAGAAATGTAAATGGAGAGTAATTCTAATAACAACAGTAATGAAGGAACGATGAAGTTTGTAAGTGATGGAAGATGTGCAAACGATGTATTTAGTGTATAAGTTTTCATGTTTTACAAAGATGTTCTGTAATTTTGCATTGAAAAATAGACTGGTCTCCCTCGCTTGAGTTCTTTGATCACTACAGGTGCAATTTAGTCCCTACTTATTCCTTATTCATATCAATTACATTTTGAAAATTCGGTCAAAACTCCTCAGACTTTCTTGTACAGTGCCATTTATGTATGTTCGTACTGTATGTGGGATTTCAAAGAAAAGAAAATTCCATAAGTATCCTCATATATCTAGACTATTATTATTTAAACCAGAAATAATCTTATCATAAAAGATGTTTCATTTTGACATTGTGGAATATTTAATAATTTTGTAGAAATCATTTAGTAATATAGCTCACTGGTAACTTTTGGTTATCAGTTTTGCTCGATACTATTTTCACCATTACAATGAATGTAGATAATTAATACTTTGCTTTGTCTAACTGATGCATCTGTTATTGAATTAAAAAATAATGAAATCTAGTTAAAACTTCAAGGCTTCAACTCATATGGAAAATTAAATTATTCATATAAAAATTCTACTTCTCTGTCATGTAATTCCTGCTGAGCTTTTTTTAAATTTTAAACAATCACATTTGGTCTGTTGTCTGGGTCACTTTAATAGATTGGATTAAGCCAAATTTATTTGTTCCTAGAGCAACAACTAGTGTTAATTCTTAGTGTATCTTTATTTTTTGGTGTATTATTGTTATTTTTCATATTCAGTTAAATTATTTAGGAATTAATTTCAATTACGAATTCTCTGTGTTACTATCTCTTACACTGTTTCTCTTGGTTTAAAATGAAATTTCGTATGGATACATTGGTTATCCTGTAATTTTCGAAAGGTTATGCATTAATTACACATACTTTGAAGAGTTTTAGACGTGATGGCAATTAGCTATGCGTGAAATGTTTTGTTGTAACAGCAAATTTCGGTTGTTTTCTAACTTAAAATATTTTCCAGACAGGTAGCAACTAATAATTGAAACAAATGACCATTATAACTATCGCGTTGAGCTTATTTTTAAAACTTCTGATTTTACGGATTGCAACACTACACAAATAGATAATTTGTGATGAAACATTTAGTGTTTACAATGTTATAGTTTTATTATATAACCGAAAAATATTAGTAAATCAAGAGGTTGCTTACAATGGTTACGTTTGATATTCAAGAAAAACCGGAACTACATGACGGAATATATGTACTTGAGACTTTCGAACAACATTTAGGGATTAGTGTAAAATTTGGTAGGCTAATATTATTTACTAAGATTTAAAATAAGTAAATAATAGTAGTTATTATATGGCAGTACATGCCGTACTGTCACTCATAAAATAACCTAACATTCCACTTCAAATTACGAGTAGTTGGCAAGATTTTAAGCAAATTGATTCGCCCAAAAAAATGAAAGCCCTCCATGCCCTTTTTATATAATTTTGTTATCTCAATAAATGTAGCCATCTTAATATTTCTATGCATAACGGAACCTTACACTGGATTGACGTTCAGTTGGAACTCAAAAAAAACCAAAAGGTTTAAAATTAAGACTTTTTTATTGATCTACGACACATAATCCTTCATCACTTGGTGACATATTTCCAAGAAAGAAATAACTAATTCTCTAGAATTCAAGAGAGTGATGAAATTTCATCATCAGCGAAAAATACAGAGAGACAATTACAAGTAATCAAAAATCGATAAGTTTGACTAATCCAGACAAAATCTGGTCCGTCTATTTATTCTAAAACAGTATACAGTCTATTAATAAAGTGTTGATTACATATCTATCGGACGAAATAAAATAAATACTGAACAATTATTAACATTATCGTTTTACATAAATATGGTATCTCGTATAAAAACCCGCATTTTTCTCGAAGTAGTTAATTACTTGACAGTATTTATCGATCTGTTAGGATTCTGGTTTTCGCACCTATTTTTGGTACAGATTTTTTGCTTCATCAAAATAATTTTAAAATGAAGTTTACATTCTAACTGTGATAAGGGCTTTCAAGATTTATTTGGATTATATTGCACACACATTTAATAATCCGACTATGGGTTACATTCTGTTCTTAATAAGTTTGATGATAATTATAACATTTTTCAGGTTGAAATACTTTTATGACACTGACTATAATGCGGGTTAACAAGTTAGAAGATAACAATTTCGTTGTAATCAGTTGGTAAGAGAATATCCCCTTTTAACTTAAACTAATTAATGAATTGTAAGAATGAGATCGATGGGCTTCAACTCGTTAGTTTTTGAAGTAGGGTGTGACACAAAACTATTTCCTTCTTATTTTAATATAAGAAACAGTGATCTGGTGGCACTGGTAAATAATCACTTATTGGATATGATTTCAAACAAACAACACTTTAGACTTTCAGACCAGGTAGATAGGATGATGATTTTAAACGTTACTTAAATTTCTGAGCATCTAGTGCATAATATAATATACACTCAATTCATTCATTGTTGTGAATTTTCATTATTAAAGAAGGCTGAGTGTGTTTACCTGTTTTATTCAGGATTGAAGGATCACAGAAGCGATACCAGAAAAGTTTATGGTATCGGCCACTTTAACGATGTTTAATGAAAATTTATAAGGATATCAACATTAACATGTACCAAGCATTTAAGACATTCAGTTCTAATGCGTTTTGTACACTAGTTTGTAAGGACTTATCTATACTGTTATCAGTCTTCAGACTTTTTGTCTTGGTAACAAAATTTCCTTTATCTATTTAATGAGTCAAACTCTTGTGGTCGGTGAGTAATATTCTTGGAGCATCTTCAAACCCTAATCATTCCGATTACCGCTTATACTCTTACTACCTCTAACACTACGGGATTTGAATCGACAATTGCATCTGTGTGCTAATGTGGTATGGCAACTGATGTACGTACGTACGAAGTTCTACGTTGTTACTGACTGACTATATGTAATATGTTCTCTGTCTCATAAAACTCCATACCTAACTAGTTTGAATGGATGAATAACGTCTCCCAGCAATACAGAAAACTAATCAGAATGTTTTCATCCAAATAGTTTTGATTGCTGATAAAATAAAAATCAAAAATTATGAGATGAATGTAACAGGAAATCTTTACTAGTCTAGTAGTTATTGCTACAGCAAAAAGTACGGAAAAGATTAACAACATCCATCAAAATAATGTCAGAGCTCAGAATATATTTATGAAATAAAAGTGAGTACGTTTCCATTGAATTTAACAGCTATAATTTGATACGAATATTAATTAGAAACACCGCATATATTTATTTTAATTTTCAAAGAACTCTGTGCGTCACAACCTTTCACTCAACAAATGTTTTGAGAAGGTTCCTCGTGATAAGGGTGAAAGAGGGAAGGGTGGTTTTTGGAGAGTGAATCCAAGACATATTGATTGGCTTGAAGCTAATCTAGCCAAATGTCGACGGGCTGCACCTCCTCCAGGACCTCCACCTCCAATCCCAAGGTCCATGTTACTACAACAACGTAAAATGCAACAGCAAAATCAGTGTCAGCAAGCACTATTACCAAGAAATTTAATGCTATCTCCACCGTCTGTTTCGATTGGCAATCATGCTACTACAAATTCACCATTCAATGCAAACATTTGTATTTCTGAATCTCCAAATGACCCAGCTAAAACTCATCAAATTGCAGCTTTGTCACCATCTTCTAACTCTTCCTTGTCATCATCTCCATTGTCATTCGCTTCTGTTGGCTCACCTGCGAATTTACAGTCTGCTAGGATTCCAATAACACCAGGACATACAACATATCCAAACGGAGTTCATACATTTTTTATGAACCGTAGTATACATTCTGAATTGAACAGCTCATCAACTTTACCACCTCTTTCTTTATCTGCTAATATATCACAGTCATATTTAACACAAGCAATACCATGTCATCGACGTAAAAGTCCTCTGTTTAAAAATCACTTACAAGAAAGTATTGCACAAAATGCTATATTTGAGTCAGATGATGGTTTTTCTGACAATGAGATTTCTCAGTCTTTGGCTGAAAATGCTCATTCAACAACAAATACAATAAATAAATCACTCAATATACATCCCAAATTAAATGTATATGATCCAAATCATACCACGCCAAATATTCACTCAGAATGTGCCAGAAAAACCCGAGTGAATAATAATTCTAGTTTGAATGCACTTAGTTATAAACGTCAGTCCCTACTACGTAATAATAATATTGACTTGTTGGATCAGCAGTCAGATTATCATTCATCTTGTAAACCACGATCCAAAGCTAACCTGGATAGGTCTCGAATCAACAATCGTAGTTCTATTACTGAACGCTTTAAAAGATCAAAATCGAAACAAACTATCAAACAGTGTGGATCAAACGAAATGAAAGCACTCCCTACTCGAGTGCTACCGGTAAGTACTTGTTGTATATGTAAAAATTCTACGTCTTACTGTACACATGGAAACTTCAAGTTTTATTCAAACTTTCCTTAGTTATACTAAAAGACAGTGGTAATAAGAAATTAATTTACTCTTATCAGTTTCAGTTATTATATAATAACAATTTATTCGATGTTTCTTTATGACTTATTGTAGAAAATAACTACATAAGTGATTACATAAATCCTTATAATCTCTATATTGCTCTACAGGATATAATGCTTCACAGTCAGCTAACATCCCTTAGTTTTGGACGACTATTTTCGGTGCTATTCCTTAAGTATTTTAGTGTTTTGTTTTACTGTCTAGAATACATTACGAAATATTCGTTAAAAATCAGTTTCACTGCACATCTAACACCTTTCGAAGCTCTTATTCAACGACAGATATTACCATTATGCATATTAGCAAGTATTCCCCAACGAACTTCTCATTCTTTTATTACACTTTATTAAATTTGTTAGTTGATGGATTATGTCCCCTTGCATTATAGAAATTCAAATAAAAAAATTAAGCAGTTTCATGAAGCGTGGTTTTTTTAATGTCTTTCTTGTTAGAATTCACTAACCAATTGAATTTCGAGCATTTACTAAAGTTAACCGATAGTTCGTACCTAGCCATGACACGGTTCGAAAGAAAAACATTAACCAATTCATTTCTTACCTCAGTAGTGTTAGTTAGTTGAACAGACACACTAAACTTTTAAAGTTATATGAATAAAAGAACGTATAAAAAAGTCACCCAACCTAACCTTTCGTAATTTTTGTTCCCTTCTGAATAAATAGAGGGGAGAATATCGAGCCCATCTACCTAAATGTTTGTATCACAGAGTCAATCATAGATGTTATGCTGTGAAAAACTAATTGGTGACTCCTACCAAATATATGACAATTTCAAGGTTATTCGAGAATATATGGTATTTATTATTCGTGAATCTTATTTGATTTATTCCCATTAATTTGTAAACTTATGGCGATTATTTCTTCCCTGTTTAGAAGAAAAATGTTCCGGCTTAAATAAAAGCTACATAGTAAAATATCATGCATTTTTCCGGTTTTTGTATCTGATTCCGAATAAAGTCCATTTTATTCATACAACTCGTCCGCAATTTATTCCTTTATAGATGAATTGCTTGTATGGTAGGCTATACATAGTAAACAGACAGATATTGACTATATGAAGTAAGCAGTATGATCAAAGAATTTAGAATTGATAACTGCGTAGACAGTGATCTCATTCTATATTATGCAGAAATCTGAAAGACTTTAACCAAGCACTTTACTAATGTAGTCACGTAACCCAAAAAAGTCACATTTTTATTAAAACACATTAACACCATTATCAAATGCTGATTCTTGTCAGTGAATATAAAAATAAACCTAGGTTATTTCTGTCGAAATCTGTTGTTCTGAAAGATTCATTATAACCAAAAGCACATAATCTCGAGAAACGGTCACTTTTCAATAAAAAAGGTCCGAAACTGACAATGTAATTCAACCCAAGAGTTAAGTAGATATTTTTAGAACAACCTGATAGTGAGTTCACTTTCTAGAACCAGAAGATAGTGTAGCTTATTTCATCACTTCATAAAGTTTTCAAAGCGCTCAATTTTTGAGTTAGAAGCTAAACAAGTTAGTGCTATGAAGCCAAATCCCTAGTAACCACTTGATTCGAAAGCTCAACATATAATCATGGAATTCATATGTACATCATAAGCTGTTCATAAGTTTGGTATACTTTGATTCCTTATTTAAAAGTAGGACGTATGATTAACAAGGTGAGATTCTAAATTCACTTGGCATTGTTTACTTGAATCTACCCATTGATGTTTAGGACTGTAATTGGTCAGTCTCTTATTGGCATATGTGCATCCTGTGTGTATTGTCCTGATATTGCCTTAATTCACAAGTGGCTATCAGGACTCAGTAGCTAAGTGGACAACGCGATGGCGTTTAAAGTGAACGGTACTGGGTTTGAGTTCCAGATTGAACATCAACTCTGAGATGCAGGTACACCGAGCTGACGGGTACCAAATAAGACGAAACGCAAAGTGAGATTATATCTCGAGCATACTGACTGATACATAAAGCGTAGGGGCTGAGACGTTATTCTCCATAAGGGATGAAAATAGTTACCTTTTTATTGTAAGTTATCTGCATTCTCCTTTTTGCTTATTCCGAAAGCAATCTCATAGTGGTCGGCAGTTTATAAACCATAAAATTGTCGTGAGTGTTACCATTATTTTACTTTTTATTTCTCAATTTATATTTGGAAACCTGATGACGACAGTTGCTGTAAGCTGAACCAATAGTCATACTTGAGTATTTTTGTAAATCTAGAACTACCTTAAATTTAAAAACGGGAAAATTCATGTTGTCAAAATAGTTAAATCACCTAGTTTTTGATTTTGAGTATACTTTGGCAAAAAATAATAATATCTCATTCAAGTATACTGTTATTGGTGAAGATAACTGCAAGCGACTAGAGATATAAGACTTTTCTTCAAATAGTGTTGTTGATTTCGTTAACTCGACAACAGAAACTACGTAATTCCCTTACCAAATGTCACTAGTGCCTGGTAGCAGAGTCCAGGATATGTGTTTCATCCCATGTGGGACTCTTCAACTGAGTGCACCTGGATCTTAGTGTTGATATTCACAGTGGAATTCAAAACCACAACCTTTTGCTTCAAACGCCGACGTATCATCCAGTCAATTCCTGAGCTTCCGTAGATACTAGCTTGTACAATAAGTATGAAATTCATATGTAAGAGTTTACATTATCAGGTAACCAAAAAACATGATTAAATGGTGGTATTGAGATAATACACTCAATATGAACACATGCCAACATAGAATGACCAATTACAACCTTTAGCAGCAATAAACGGAAGATGTAAACCCCTATAAACAGGATTTTTATATCAAAACAACTAAATTATGAAGTAATAGTTAATATCATATACTGTTAAAACATATTTTTCATTGATATTTGTTTCATGATTTCTTAAATATTTGTTTGTTTATGTAAACGTGTCAGGTTTTCGTTGATACAAAACTCCTCTTTTTGACATCAATTTTGTTCGTTAGCCACGGCAAAGGTATTCCCGTTGGTCACTCCCTCGTCCACATCCAATCACAATGAATGACTTGGAAAATAGCAAACAAGAAAATGAGTGGAACGATAGGAATACATTGGAAACTACTAATAGACGAAAGGAAAGAAAATATGATAAGGATAAAGTGGTACAATGGGATCATAGTGATCACTTACAAAAAAATGGACTAAGTCCATTATTAAATTTTATAGACAGTGATAATGATAATATTAATTGCATAAATGACAGCATAACTTCCCATAATAATTGGCCACCGCTAAACAAAGTTGAAAACCGTCTAGCAGACACGACATCTGATTACATAAATACAGAGTTGAGAAAGACAGAACTATTTAAGAGTAATACTTTATCGTCTTGTGATTTATACAAGGATTATTGTTTACCCAATTACAATACATATTGTCAACCAGTAAACGATTTGCAGTGTCAATACAATTCTAACTTCATTACCACCAATAACGAAGAAACTGTCATTTTATCTGAATCTTTATCGAATTCTTCTGTTCCAGTCTTTCGTTGTCATTCGAATAATATTAATTCGTATTGCAGCTCAACAGATAACTTTCATTCTTCATCATATAATACCTATGAAAATCAGTGTTCACCACATAATAATAATAATGATAATAATAATAATAATGATAATAATAATAATAATAATAGTGATGGTCTGAGAACATCACAGTCAACAGTGGAATCGGAATTTGTTATGAATGATTCTATTGAGAAAACCTACTTCTTATCTAAAACAACTGATAATCATATAATGAATACACCATCAACGACTGATAAATCAAAGTTGCCCATTTGGGCGTCAGTATTCTTGTCAGATGACAATCATAGTGGTCTGGACTGTTTATTTAATGACAATAAACATAATGATGAGTCTTTCAATTTATTTAGCAATGAAAGTTTTGAATCAGGCATTCATTCAAATTCAACACTACGTTCGTCACCTATATCTTTATCATCACCAACTTCATCAACTTTACCACCTTCTTCATGTTCCCTGACCACATCCTCCTTTTTATTTAAGGCAGAAAAGGATGAACAGGATCTATTTATAAATAGTTCTAAACAAACGACTGATCCATCAAGTAATCGCTCTTCAACTGATGATAATAACAACAGTAATAATTCCATCTTAGAAGACCTTGGTTTGGACTCCGTTGATCTAGATTTCGATTCATTAAATGAATTGGTTGAAAATAATGAACATATTCCATTGGATATTGACTTTAATTTAACAGCTAGCTTTAATAATGACAATTTTCTTGATCCCTCTGATTTGCCATCACAAGAATGGAATAATTCTCTGATTAGCAATACTACTGATAATCGCAGTAATATACCTGACAGTCTGCTATGCAATAAAGCCCATCAGCAGAAACAACCTCAATGGCCAGAAAATTTGGCAGCTGAAAATGATACAATGCAAGAATTTATTACAAATGATTCGTATTGGTTAAACAACACGCAAACATTTAGTGCGTCCAAAGGTTTAACAATGTTTTTATCTGAATCATCCGTTCATATGTTTGAAGAAAATTTTACCGAAAATGTAGATAGAATGTGTAATGAATGAATGAGAGATTAAATATTGAAGAAAAGACTGAGTTTGTCACATTCTTCCATAAAATGTAAACAAATAACTTGGAAAAGTTACATAGAAAAATTATGTAAGTATATGTACTGCTCTTTCAACAGTTGACTGTTATCTTGTATATTCATATTACTCAACTAATTCTTATAAATTCAGTTTTTTCGAATGCTTTCTACTCTATTCCAATTTAGTATATTTATTGTTACTGCTTACTTAATGAACAACGTTAATTTTTAACCTGGATGTGAAAAATATCATTAAAACTACTGTATGATAAATTTCTATGGATTTAAACTGTCATAGGAAACGGTGTTTCTGTTAAAACTGTGTTGTTATAATTTTAGCCTACAAATGTAACTTTTTTTATTCACCTACAGTATATATATCCGTGTAACTTTATTGCTTATAATTTGTTTTGTTTTCTATTTATTATTATGGCAGTTGATTTTTGTTTAATATAGTTAGGAATTTATTGTCTTCCTATTGTAAAACCTTACCATTCACAAAAATGTCAAATTCGTTTACAGTCAGTATACCTCTACAAGAAAAATATCTGATACATGTACCACTGTTATGTTTCATCAGCGTGTTAAGTGAATGGGACTTTTTGCTATTTACATTTTACAATAAACTAGTAAAGATTTCAGTGATTGCTTATAAAATACTGATAGTTTTTAAACATATCAAAATATATGATATATATTCTGTAATGTGTTGAAATTGTCCGTTACATGAATTTTCATGACTTTTCATACCTCAAATATGAGCTTTGTTCTGACTTCCACTCTTCATATCATACAAACATCTTAGTTAAACAGAGATATTAAATGTGAATGAATACGAAATCAGCAAAATAATAAAAAAAATTAGCTTTATCAGTGATAAATGATTTACTGTTTTTCTGTGAGACCTAAGAAGCACTTCATTAGAGATTGAAAGCTATCATAGAACAAAAGAAACTATACTAACCATACATAAACATATCTTCCGTTTATCATTCCTTTTTTACTACATATTTTTGCCTTATAAAAATTGCGACACATATCATTTTGATTTCAGTTTATCTCTAATTAATGTTTTTATTATACGAGTGTTATATATATGCTTTGTTTATGCATAATTAGTATATTAATAATAAATATTAATTGTTTCATATTTCGAAATCAAATTCTACTGTGTTATGGTGTTACGTACATTTCATCTAATTATTCCGACTAATATCTGTTCAGACTAAGGTTACAACATTTGGTGATTATCCCTGTATTCCTTTCTAATATCACAGCTTGTGGACTTATTTAATGTGAGTTTGTAAAAATCTGTATGCACATCAATTCTAATTAATGTACTCAGTGAATATTTCTCTCTAGTGACTAACAAACTTGTGAAAAAATTTTGAACAGAAGATTCACTCTCTTTAAGTACTATTGGGAAACAATCAATGCTAGGATTGCCGAATACCGAAATCAGTAATTTGATTCTAATATTTGATAAAAAGTTGCTGACATACTTTAAGATTTCTGCCAGATATTTTATGGCATTAGAAATGTTCCGACTGATAGAACATCAGGAAACATTGGCTCTGTAATCTTATTATTTATTAGCCATTATTAAGATACACTAAGATATACTAAAAATGGAATCGTTTTGAAAATGGCACAATTTGCAAATGAGCATTATGTATACGGAAAAGTGGTCATGTTCTTAAGAAGCCATTTGTGATTGATTACATTCCATACGTTATACTTTCACCGTTTTAAAAGGGCTTCATTTTAACGAAGTTCCATAGACAGGGGTTTACTATTACTTAATTTATAATGAACTTCAAAATAGGCTGTTCAACAAAAATATTTAGAAATTATTCTGTCAAGAAGTAAATCTTAGGCCAAAACATTATAGTGAGAAGATCTATTTCAAAAAATTCAAAGCAAACTAGTTGGCCATGGTTGAAACAGTGAAGATTAAGATGGAAATGGCAAGAAGTTGTACAACTCTGAAAACATCTCATCACCTGTTTTTCACTAACGGGAGGTTACTTTTTATGCTGTTATGCATAAAAACGACTCAGTAAGTTTCCAGTATAGATGAAGAAATTAGTCGAAATGACATGTTTCATCGGAAAAGCGTACTAAAGTCAAGGTTTTTGTGGTCAACTTCATCGTATAAGAAGAAAAAGATTGTCCCAATGGAATAAGGCTTATCTATGATATTCATTATGCAATTAGAATTCAGAGCACTAAGAATTTCGGTCAAAATATATTGCAATATGTATATATTTGATTATGCTTAGTGCTATGCAAATTGACTTTCAACTAATGCTTGTTCTTTGCTAAGCAATAGCTGTAAAGATTTTATCGTTTAACGAACAAAGGAATCTTGAAGTAGTCAGTCTTTCATATCCATATACAAACAGTCAACTGTTTTTAACAAGATAGATATCTGATATCAGTTTACTGAACGAATCCTTATTTTACGAAAATTTGTGATACGAATATTTGTAAAAATTATGCGAGGAAAAACAATTGTAAGGGGTTTATTTAAAATAACTTAAGTTATGTGATAATCTTATTTCCCATTAGTCGTGAGAGTTTTACAACCAAGAAATGTGATAAATATTAATTTTAGTTAATTTTATATTACTTCCTTATTAGAACCAGGTACACAACAACGAAGTATATGATCAGAAAAACTTTTCATTACAGGGCAGGTAAAGGAATATGAAATAAATATTTTTTGTCGCTGGTATTCGTAAAATGGAATTTTCTATAAAGGTATCCTATGAAATAATTTAGTCACGCGGCCTCATTTTGTGTGCTTGCTCATATACGTCATTAAGGTCATATTTGCAATGTTTAGCTTACTAGTCAACGCCCATGAAGTTTAATAAAGCCAAGATATGATTGACTGTAGAAAGGGGGGGATGCAGAGAATCCAAGAATAGAACAACCATTCAAGCTATCTTAGGGTATATGTGTGTCCATTCTTTAAAACTCCTTGTCTTAAAGTATTTTCTATAAAGATACCTGTTTGTACAACTATGAACAAAACCTCAAGGACCAATACATTATTTTTCAAAAACTTATATTTTCTACAAAATAGCTTAGTAAAAAAGGAGAAAGATACAGCTGATTAAAAACATTGGTCTTATTGGGCTTTTGAGAAAATTTCAAATTAAGATAGAAAATATGAACAGATATGTTACCAGTTAACCACGTGATATTTGCCTCATAATTCTGAATAAATACTAAGATAACGGTAATTGACTGAGGATTATCCAAATGACAGCAAGCTTATTTCCATCGTAATGTAGTTTATAACTTAGAGATCAATTTAAAGATCGGCATACTGACCAATCATGTGTTGAGTCAATAATTCTACGCAAAAGCACTCTGTGTGGTTGGATAAAGCACAAGTTCTTAGTGGTTCAGTATGTGGATAACCCAGATTATTATAAGTTCTTAAGTATATAGTATTTTATTGTAGGAAAAGCGTGCTAATGATAATACCACAAAGCAATAGTAAGACAAGTATATACATGTACAGATATTGATTCTGAAGTATTATTTGCCACAATCACTCATATTCCGCTAATTGTTTGTCGAATGTAAAAAGAGTTAAGTAATTCATGCGTACTCTTTAACATTTTTATTTAGCCTTGTGCATACAGCTGTATAAATTTGCATGCGCCTTGATCATCTATTAGTTATGCTCTCAAAAGGTGGTAGTACACAAAGAATCGATTTTCCGAAAACAGCAATATCAGGCTTACGACTCATTTAAGTAAGATGAATATAGAATAAATCCTTTACCTGAGATATATGTTTCATACTATGTTGAATGTCAGTAACAGACTGAACTTATAATGTAATTCGAGTGTTTGCATTTAATTACTCATTCTGGTATATACGAATAACAAAGTGACTATCTGTGATATAATTCTGTTATTAGTTATAAGATTACTAGAGATTTAACGTTTTTCACTAGATAATTTATTAGCTCATGTTCTTGCGAGATATTTTTTCTTATTATTTAAGGTAAGACATGTTAATCAAAAATCGTAATAAGGAGTATTAGATAATATTCACGTAGGGAATCTAACACATTAATTTTATAAATACAATTCTGATTTTATACTAAAAACAACAAAGACTTCTACAATACGAGATAGATTCAATTCAAGACCGATTTTAGTATGTAATATACTTTAATTAAAAAGATTTCTTTTTCGGAACTACTTGTTCCATAAATTTCATTGGTTAGAAATTACTGTAAACTTCTGAGTGTCGAGAATTCACTGCTGTAGAAACTTGGTTAAAAGATCTGTAATGACCCAATTTGATAATCTGTTGAGTGTTTTCTCTGCGAAAATCGAGATCTCAAACTATTTGTAAATCATAATATATTGATGGTGTAGAGTGGTTAAGCTTTAGCAATTCAAACTGGTTAAACAATCAAGGTTGAATTAAGTATATATAATAATATTAATAACTCTACAATAATATTCCCCAATAGAAATTTTCATAAACCTATGAAGCTAAGAACTTTTCTCTGTAAACTGAAACCTCATTAGATTTCACATGAACATTTGTCAGTATTTGAGTTGTTTTTTCGGCCATATATCTGTAATACGATAAAAAATTATTTGATTCATTTACTAATAGAAGAATAACATAATCAGTCACACTGTTTGTGTATAGCACCATGATGTTATCCGACTGAAAAGACTGAAATAATTGAAGTGAACTTCGCTGAATTTTTAACATATATACATTAAAATATCAAGAAGATAGAACGTTTTATTACTAGTTAAAAAAGCACTACTGACAAAATGCAGTTAATCTATTTGAACGAACGTCATTCATGAGGGTTATAATAAAATATTCTTTATACATTAAAGACGAACCAAACATTTATCAGGTTTTTTAAAGTATTCAAAATATATTTCACTCTGTTGGTCAAATTGATGTATACTTCATTTCTGTATA